GGGAGAGCTACCTTTCATTTTTTTTTTTTTCAAACAGTTGTTATTTTTTATGGCAGAATTTTAAATAATGAATGCGGGTTTCAGGAACTTTACTGCTGTGCTGGCTGCCCATTAATGCAGGGCATGCTCACATTATTTGTGCTTAAAGTGGTGCCCCATAGTACAAGCACATCAAATTGAAGGTCATTTTAATAAATATGGTCTTCGGTGCTCCAAAACATGATAGCATGTTTTTACCTTTCCAAAGCACTTAGAAATCCACAGAATACAAGCATCAAGGCATATCTCCAGCATGGTCACACTGTGAAGCACAATTGTAAATCTCCTGGGACTCTGTGTTCTGGTGAGTACCCTGTACCTTCCTCACTTCTGCTCTTTTCCACTACTGCTGAATCAGACCCTTGCCATGTCTGGGAACTGATTTCCAGATGCTCTCCTTTTCAGCAGCAATGACAGTAGCAGGTGACACAGGTATTGCTCCAGTTAGCCCTTATCATTCAGCTCTTGCTTTGGGTCAGAGGTTTACCTTTGTCCTTTTTTTCCCTTTCCTACAAAAGAAAAACACATGAGCACTTTTTTGAGCCTACAGAGGAGACACATCCTTCATGTCATATCAGTTTGTCTGCTGGAGAATGAAATGCCCAATAAATCTGTCCTCGAGCACCATCTGATGGGGAAAGTCATGTATTGACTGAGGACAACGTTCCTTGCTTTTTCAAGGAAACCAGATCTTCAGCAGTGACTGGGAAACTTGCCAAAGCCACATACAAATATTTTTGTTTCCAGATGGACTCCCCAGTACACTCTGTAGTATAGATATTTTAATGCATTTTTGATGAAGAAGTTCAGTTTTAGGGACAATGGGAAAATACAGTTCCACTCTGAATTAGGGTTTTCAGGATTTCCCCTTCAGCTCTTGAGAGGCCTATAAATTGAAATAGGATAAAAAGTAGGTATAACAAGGCCTAGAGGAGATAGACACCCAGTTGTTACAATTTTTAGGCAGATACTTGAAAAAAACCCCAAGAAACATCTGCCCAAAGAACTAAAATTTTAAGGGCTGTCCTACTTTGTACTAAAGTATAATGCAAATTCCACTGAAACCAGTTGAACAAAAGAAAACCTTGCTGCATAACAATTTTAAAATTTGAGAATATCCTTCTGTACTAAAGCCACATAGAAATCACATGGAAAAACCAAGTTAAAATTTTTGCCAAAATAACATGCCTGCTGTTATGAAGGGTATCTTGGGCTCTCTGGAAGCACCAACTTTTTCAAGAGCTGCCAAGTCCACCAATTCCAAACATCAGCTGACACTCCAAGAAATACTTTAGCTGGTCACCAATTCCAAAATTGTCTAAGTTCTGTCAACATCCCCGAACCCCTAAAGAAAAAATGAAAGATTTTGAAATTGGATGTTGGAATGCTTTTTGTACCACAAGAGCTCTGATCCAATAAAAATATCCTTGTTAATGTGCATAAATATGGCACCCTCATTGCCACAGGTTTTGTTTCAAAAAGTAATTTTTTGCCACAAAAAGGAAAAAGAAATTTCAGCTTGCTTAATTTTTCCTCTCTGAGACCTATTTATTAGATATTTGACAGAATGGATGACTAGTTCTTACAGTGTAGCACATCTCAAAAAATAATTCTTTGGTGCTGAGATTTAAAAAAAAATAAAATATTTTCAATTAATTTCCCTTTGTAAATTAAAATAGATTTTTTTCAAGACTTCCCTTTAAAATAAGCTGTATACTCTTTCGTTTCTAAAAGCAGTCTGACCTCCATTCACAATCATTTGATTCTCAAAGTTCAGGCTCCAATACACTCTTACAGGATTCATGATCTTACAAGATTCATGATTTTACGTGATTCATGATCAGCTCTTTGTGAATTAGTCTTCAATATTATAGCAGAAACAGCACAGCCAAGTCTGGGGTTTTCAAATGCCATAGTGCCAGGCTATACAGGATCATTTACCCAAGGGTATCCTGCAACACCCATAACCAGATTGGCACTGGCAGCACCCACAGAGGTTCCCAGCAGCAGGAATGTAATGGCACTACAGAGAACCTGGAGCATAAACAGCACTTGGTCCTGTTTTGTTGCTGCATTATCTGCTCAGTGATCAACTTGTTCTCAGAAGAGAATGGTACTGACCTCTGTGATGGTGCTGCAGTGAGTAAATTCAGAAGAAAGAAAACTGGACAGGAAATGGAAGTCTGAGGAACTGGTGTATTGTTTTGCATGGCAAGGTTTTGGTAGCAGGAAGGGTATTGGGGTGGCTTCTCTGAGGAGCTGTCAGCTTTCCCTTTGTCTGACCCAGCCAATGCCAGCTGGCTCCAAGGTGGACCCACCGCTGGCTAAGGCCAAGACAATCAGTGTCTAGTACCATAATACAAAGGAAAAACGAAGTTTTTTTGTAGACACAGTTGTGGCCAGAGAAGAGAGGAATGAGAAAAACAATCCTGTGACACCAACGTCAGTTCAGGAGGGGAGGAAGTGCTCCAGGCTCAGGAGCTGAGATGCCCCTGCATGCTGTGCTGCAGACCATGGTGATGCAGCTGTGCCCCTGCAGCTCCTGGAGGACCACAGGGAGCAGAGATCCACCTGCAGCCTGTGAAGGACCCATGTCACAGCAGGTGGATGACAAAAGAAGGCTGTGACCCCATGGGAAGCCTACATGAGAGCAGGCTCCTGGCAGGCCCTTGGAGAGAGGAGCCCACAGTCGAGCAGGTTTGCTGGCAGGACTTGTGGGTCTGTGGGGAACTCACACTGGAGCAGTCTGTTCCTGAAGGATGCACCCTGTGGAAAAGGGACCCATGTTGGAGTGGTTAGTGGAGAACTGTAGCCCATGGAAGGGCTCACACTGTAGAAGTCTGTGGAGAACTATCTCCTGGTGGAGAGATGCCACACGGGAGCAGGGGAAGGACTCTTCTCTCTGAGCAGCGTCAGAAACAAAGTGTGATGAACCGACCATCTCACTCCTCATCTCCCTGAGCTGCAGCACGGGAGGAGGTAGAGCCTGGGAAGGAGGGAGGGGTGGCAGGAAGGTGTTTTTAAGATTTATTTTACTTCTCATTATCCTGTTCTAATTTTGATTGGTAATAAATTCAATTATCTTCCCAAGTTGAGTCTATTTTTCTCATGACAGTAATCAGCGAGTGATCTCTCCCTGTCCTTAACTCAGGAGTCTTTTGTTGTATTTTCTCTCCTCTCCTCTCCTCTGTCGAGTTCCAGAGGGGAGTGGCTTTGGCGGGTACCTGGTGTCCAGCCAGGGTCAACCCCCCACCGCTGCTATGTTTATAAAAGATCTCTTCAAAAGTACACAGCCTACCCCAACAGGGGAAAAAAAATCCTACCTTTATCATTTAAAAGCAACAAAATCAGTATGTATACACAGCCTCTTCAACATGAACTGATCAAAATCAGAAAAGTCACTGACCAAAGAGAAAATTTTGAAGGGCAAAGACCAGAAAAACCCAACAAACCAAACCTAAACCCAACCCTTCCTACAGGCCCAAGAAAACTGGCCCAAAATAAAGTAATAGCAAGCAAGAGAAAAATCTTAATTTGCAGTGGTTTGCTGGCAGAAATTGTTTTCCTTTAGTCCATATTCAGATCTGGTTTTTCACAGTCTTCTACAGAAAATACTACGACTGGATTCGAGAAACAGCTGAGTAATTCAGTAGTTTGCCCACTAGACTGCAGCCAAAATTAGCTGCAACTGCTCCTCCCTCAACTTAAAAACGGGAATCACATCTCTGCAGGAGATGTGCACATAACCTCTCTCTCTGAACTTGCATGAGGCTACACAAGGGGTGCAAATTTGGGCTCCAGACACAAGCAATGCTAGCTTTAAGGATTTCACCTCAAAATGGCAGAGTTCTCAATTTTATTTTATTTATTCTTTTTTAGTCACTGCCAAGCCACTTCTTCGTTGAATCCTTGGTTCCTGTGCCCTTTATGAGAAATGCAAACAGGTTCAAATGACTTTAACCACAGCTTGAGGAAAAAAAAAGCATCCACACTTCATATTGACTTGAACACTTCTATTTTGTGCTGTAGCTTCAGCAGAGGAAGATGGAAAAAAACCACAGTGACATAATGATACATGTGGAATGTCACTTCATTTTATTTCTCGTCCTTAAAGAAAAAAAAATATAGTGCAATTTTTCTGTATCTGTACAGAAACCAAATGTTTCTGTGGCACTTCAGGGATCATTTTGGCCTACAAGTAAAAAACTTCTGTAAGATGTGTTACAACATGTCCCCAAGACCATAGGCTTCCACAGATTTCTCAACTGTGAGGCTTCTATAACCAATATGCAGTAGGATATGTATTAGGATAGATGTTCACAGAAGTCAGATTGAATCAATGCAGCAATTTAGAAGGGTAAATGTTATGTTACATCATATAATCAACAAGTACTGGAAAAATTACTATATCATTAATATATATTAATTTTTGAAGCTTTTTTCCAACCCTTTTCCTTAACCCCTTGCTAGAGATGTGCAAGAGAATACCCTTACTTACAAAAGGGTGGTTTTAGGTAAAGGAAAAAAAAAAATGAAAAGATGGAAAGAAAGAAAATATGAAGTTTAGAGCAATAATGTTTTGGGCATCTACCAAGAAAGGCAAGAGAAGATAAGAGACTTGAAAATGCCTCAAGTCCTTGGGAGAAATGAAACACACATTACTGTAATGAAGAACTCTGAGGATATGTACTGAAATCACAGTAGGAATAAGACACTGATTATGTCAATAAATAAAATTAAAACAATTCAGAGTTCCATATATGAATTCCTATGGTGCTGCCACTGGAATCACTGAGGTTTCAAAAAATATTTGAATGCTAGTAGGCAGTGGAAAAGGTAAAGAAGAAAATGAAAATAAAAAATGCAAGCACCATCCATGACTCACCTGAAGCAGGAAGAGTGTTTGCACTGATGTGTTCAAGGAGATGACTAAACTGCATAAAAACTCCCCAACCAAACACTTACATAGTTGACTTTATACTTTCATCAAGTAATATAATGAAGATCATAGAGAACATTATCAGAGCAAAATACATTTTTTCCATGTTTCATATGAAATACAAATAATGGTGACAGGCATGTAATGAGCTTGAACAGTAAATAGCACAGGAGTGCTACAACTCTGAGAGTAACAGTGCAGCTCTGAGAGTAACCTCTCTTCAGTTAAGCCATGCACACAAATGAGGACTAAAATACCAACAAAAACATATTTCTCTTTTCACTGAAATATCACTTATGCCTGAGATGAGACAGGATGCATTAATCCAGATCCATGAACTACTACTAGACGCCCATACCTTTACAGTAATTTGAGAGAATTAAGAGGAAATTTCTTCTTAAAATGTAGAAAAATTGCACAGGAAATATAAATAAAGAAATTATGACAAAGTTCCTCAGTAGAAGTTATTACTAAACAGAAGCCACCAGTTGAAATATCAATAAAACTTAAATTCAGCCTCAGTTTCACTCTGAATGACCTTATATTATAAGATTAGGTCTTCTAGTACATTAAGTTAGATTATACCAAATTCTGTTACTTGAGAAAGACCAGGAATCAGCAGGGGTTGCATAATTACCCCAAAGTGCCTAAACATGGTCAGCAGAAAGTTTTGTGGACAAAATATGCTACACAAAAATCACATAAGCAAACATCCTGTTATATAAGCTACTGTCATAACAGACAAAAGGAAACAGACCACAGCATAAGAAATTACGGCCAAATATATTGCAAGTTCTCCTTCTGATTAAATAACAAAAATTAATCTTTGATTCATCCTTTTTAAACAATCTTTCAGTCTAAACACTCTTTCAAAAATGAGCTCTGAGCAGGATTTGTGCGTTTCCCGACATTCTTTTTTTCCCCTCTGAAAAGGTTAAAAATCCATTTAAGAAATCAGAGTCAGTGCAATATTGGAACATCTGCTGCTCTTAGAAATGTCCTAGTGGTACCTGTTAGACTTAGCATCCCTGCAGCAGAAATACATATATATACTTGCTTCCATGGGAACATAATGTGTTCTCTTTAATAATCATGTAATTTCTGTACAAGCCTGGCAGGTGAAGATACATCTGCAATCCAAAATTGAGACTACTGATTTTTTAACTTCACACTTCCATGACTACGGTATTTTTGTTTGTTTGCATTCATTATCACAATAGCAAGTAATGCTAGTCCCACAGCTAGACTTGGAGGGCCACAAGGACTGAACTCCTGAGCAATTCCAGAAAGGAGCGGGGCAATAATACGTCCCACTGATGTCACTGACTGTCCAACTCCTAGGAGCGTACCACTGGCCTCATTCCCACCAACAGTCAGCTCCAGATCAATGATACAGGTACGGCCTATGGTAGTGGAGAAGGCCAAGAACGTGGAGGACAAAATGACCATCCATATGCTCGCTGCTGACGCATACAGGAGAATCAGCGTGCAGGTAAAAGTGCTGGAGTGCAACAGAAGTCTGTAAGTGTTGTGCCCATACAGTCTTGTTATTGGTCCGAGCAGACAGCCAGCCAGGACTCCAAGTGCACTGCTATAGCTCATTAAGTATCCAGCAAACAAGGGTTTCACCTCAAACCTCTCCTCCAAGGCCAGAGTAAAATTACTATAGTACAGCAGTATAGCAACAGACATCAGGAACCGCACTAAAAATACATCCCACAGATTAGAGCACGCAATTCCTTTAATCCTCTTCAGCACTGTTGCAACTTGGATCCATGGAGACTGGAAAAAACTACTGTTTGTCACAACTCTACTACTTGCTGATTTCAAGTGAAGGTCATGATTTGATTTTGCTGAGCAGTTGTTTGTTCCTTTGTCTTGGTAATGGTCCCTATTGCTAGTGTTTTCTTCACTCCAGGGTAACATCCAGACAAGACCTATATAGATCAAGAAATTAGTTGATTTCATTCAATTGCATCAACTTTACAGGGAAGACATTAATTTGATTGTGACAATTTAAAAAAATACTTCAACAACACTTGTCCTTAAAAAATTTGCAAATATTAAGTCTAGTGTTATTGATAGTATCAGTTTAATTTTAAATGCAGTGAAAGCAAGAAAGGAAAGCACTGAAATGCCACACTCACACCATATACACAAATCCAATGGCTAAAGCCAGAATTCTGATTTCTCGTCTTCATCTTTGGGCACATCAAAAACTCCCATTTGTGTCTGAATGTACGAGATATAAGCAAAACAAAGGCGAAGCACCTGAAGGTAACAGTTTCAAAATTCCCACCCTTCCACACAAGTTCAAATTCAAACAGTAGTACTGGCATACAAAATATTTATGCCATAGATGATAAACACGCTATGAATTTAAGGTATTACAGATGCCTTAAAAGGACAAAATGAGGAATGAGGTGACCCAAGATGCAAAATGTGACATACAACTTACCACCATTCAGAAGGAAGATAGAGGCACAGATGAAGGACGTTTGGTAAAAGCCACCTTCGAACTCTGCAAGGTAGCCACCAACAACAGGTCCCAGAATGAAGCCCACACTGGAGGCTGCATTGAAGCGCCCCATTACTAAAGGGCGATCCCTCTCCGAAACCAGGTCAGACAGCAGGGCTTTAGAGATGGAAAGTGTGTGTTTGAAAATGCCTGCAACAAAATATAAACAAATCAATAAACATGTATTTCTCTGTCAAAAAAAAATAAAAGAAAAAAGACAGAAGCGATCTCAAGTAACAATCGTTCAAATTTGTATGATTTATGCTTTTTAAATTCCATTAATCACAAATTCTTCAGTGCTAGAGTAAGCAGCTGGGGTTTAGATGTCTGGTGTGTTAAGCCTTAACATTTCAGATTATTTTCAGGAAAAAAACAGTAAGAATTCTTGATTTGTAGAGACTTTTCCAATACTAAGGTTCAGCTGGTGCTACTAGGTGATGGTGCTGTGCAACCATCCATATACCATGATTTCTGCCATAGTAATTCTCAAACTGAGACTACGCAGAATTTGACTGCAAAATGCCAAGTGTTTACTCACCTACAGGGACTCTAGAAAGAGCAAACAAGAACACTGTGGTGGAATTTCCAAGAAGGAAGTAACCCAGTGCACTGAGAAGAATGCAAGCAAGCAGGGAATACCGTCTTCCTACTATGTCACTCCAGCAGCCCTTTCACAAAGCAGGAAAGAAAGATTAGCTTTTTATAACACTAAGCTATGTGCAGTGATCAATCAGCACTTCTAAATTAAACTGAGAAAAGAGATCAAAGGACTGTCAATGAAAGCCTAATAAGATTATTACACAACATTCCTAAGTGCTCAAAATCTGGAAGTCACAAGCAGAGTTCTGCCCTGATAGCAGGCTACCTGCCAAAACTTTTGATTCCATTTAATGTTGAGTATAGAGCAAAAAATCTCCCTTTTAAAAAGACAGCCCTGCAATAAATACCACAAAATATTACCAGGAGAAGCCTTCTGAAAATCTTACCACATATAATCAACCACAAATATTTGCTTGCATCATTCAGGCTGCTATGTATTAGACACTTGTTGAACATCCTGCCTATGAAGAGTTTGTCATCTGAGCGCAGACAGGTAAGAAGTAGTTTGCAGAGGGCAAACAGAAAACTTGCATTTATCATGCTTGATTCCCACGAGGAAATAGTTTTTTAAGAAAGTAGACAATGCTCTTGCACTTCCAAGAAAATGTCACAAAACTATAGCAGGAAATTACCCCAGGTGTCCTGCATAACAAATCCTGAATCAGTTATTTTATGAGACATTCTCATAATCTGTTCTCTTTAAAACTAGAAAACTAGTACCAGGGTAATATTAGGATATAAAAAAATCAATAGCTAATAGAAAGCAAAACCAAACAAACAGCAAAGATGCAATGATTAATTTAGACCATACAGTGAATTACAAGACACTGCTCATTAAGCAGAGAAAGCAAACTAGATCACAGGCTATGAAGAGCTGACTCATGAGACTGCTTTTTGGACAGGCTACTGCACTGATGGAAACTGCTCTAGTAGGACACAACTCTGTGTAACTGTGACCTGCTCAGAAATGTATCTGAGCCCAAATCTGTATTACAATTTTTGTCTAAAAACTGTATTGTTTGGGTCTGAAAAATCTGGCAATTCCCCATAAACAAAACTGCCATTTCTCTTGCGAACTGAAAATTGTCAAAATGCTTATATGAACACTTTATGCATTTTCAAAATGCCAAGAAATGCTATTATTAACCCCACCCCTTTTCCCTCAACGATCCATAGAAATACCAATAAGCTCTCGAATGAAGTGTTAGAACTCACCACAAATGTGCTGGAAAATAGCTGCATTACCCCATAGAGAGATCCTAAAACAAACAACATACCAGTGTTTAAAATTAAGCTTCTTTTTTAAATGAAAACTGCACAAAGTTTTAAATTATGAGAAATGGGAAACCATGGAAATAGTTTACCAGAAGAATGGGAAGAGGGAGGAGGACAAACCAAGGGTGGAGTTTAGTATTTAATAAAGGAAATAGTTCCAGGGAATGACAAAATGAAAAAAGTGCTGAATAGTTGTAAAACTAGGTAAGGTAAAATGATGTTGCTTTGTATGGTATATTAAATGAAACATATCTTGGCATTCTGTTTTCTCAGAATCAGGAGAGAATGTCCCTACTGGAAAGGGCTTTCCATTGGTGCTTCAGTCTACTACAAGGCATCACAGAAGCCCTGAAGAAAACACGGACCCTGTTTTCTCATTTTGGAGGCTAGGAGTTTAGCAGCAATTAGTAACAGAAGATAAAGAACAGAGAGAAGCAGAGTGAAACATCTGCCAGACTCTTTCATTTATAAGAATACACCTCAAACCTATTTTTTTTCTAATGTTAATCAAAGCAGACTGTTGAAATGAAAACATATTTCTGACTAGTTGCTGCCTAAAATAATACTGTCAACTCAGTGTAGAAGCAGTATTATTTCATATAAAGTGTAAAATAAAAAAGCAAATAAAACTGAGTAACAGCTCCCATGTCTGGGAATAAAGAATATATTGTATCACTCCAAACTATAAACAATACCATAAAAGATACTTTAAAGCCACAGAACTTATCTTAGCACTAAATACTTCAAGATAAAATTCCAAATCTTTAGCATTTATTTGTAAACACTCCTAAAAGCGAATAAATATTTGGCCAAGACAGCTGTAAGGATATTAATCAAGCTGGAAGCAATCATGGACATTGGAAAGCTTTGGAGAACCAGCTGCAGAAGTACTGTTTGTGAAGTGTAAATAACAATAAAACTACAAGCAATACCTCTGGCTCCCTAAATTGCTAAACTGTGAATTCTTGGATGCTGGAAAGTAGCCGTACAAATGCTACTGCACGACTTCCTTGTTTTTTCCAACTGTGCTCTTTCCCAAGCACATGCTTTTGGCTACTGTCAGTGCACGAGTTTGGACAGGCGTCTGGGTCAAACACAGTATGGCTGCCCTTAGAGTTTTATCTGGAAATTGTCTTTAGTTTTTATTATGCTATTAGCAAGGAAGAATTATGTTACAATGTCCAATTTTCAGTAAGGCAAAAGCCAGGCCTTATCTCACTCTTTCGTAAATCAAGTACTGCAACTCACCTATGATTCCAGCAACCGTATGACTTGCTCCTAGAGATTTGATATGAAGATTCATTAAAGGAACAACCATGCTCACCCCAAATAAGTCCTGAAAAGAAGGCAGGAAAAGTTTTAGTAACTTTCACAAAGACAGTAGCAACCTGGCTTAATAACAGTCAACATTAGAAAAATAAATTTTAAAAAAGTAAATTATCTCTGTATCAACACAAGGTTAAAAGAAAATTTTTCGTATTACAAAACATACAAACTCAAAGATAAAGGATTGTCTCAAAAAGGAGTAAAACCTACGAAAACATCAATTCTCTCCCCCCACTCTACATACAATCCTTCTGAAGATATATATTTAAACATTAAATATTCTCTTAATATATATTGAACTTTATCTGTTTAACAAGAAAACAGTGCTTTAAATTTAGAGTGGTCTAATTTCAATCACTTAAAAATACTTTTTATTTGCACAAAGAACATGTATTTTAAAAAATTATATTTTAACCCAACCACAATGGGGAAGAAGCTACAATAGATCTGAACCTACTTACAGACTGCCTTTGTGTATAGCTTAAGAAATGTGACAAGATGGAAACTTGAAAAAAAAAATAAAGGCAAAGCATAATTAAAAAACATTTTGTAAGAGGAGGGTAAAGGACACAGCCCATCCTGAGAAGTACAGTGATCTCCTACTTGTTCCTTTTGCTCTATTACTTTTTGTTAAGCTCACATTGACCCAGTAGTTCTTTCAGTACTACTACAATCTGGCACAGCATCCAGTGTCCCTTGGAGATCTCTTGGAATAAGATCACCTTTCATCACTAACTGCTTGAACTGAACTAGACTACCTCAAAGACTGATTAACTGTAACAATGTGTGTCACTAAGTGAATGCTCACAGTCTGTCATTAATCATTTTTTGATGGCTGAAATTGAGGCTTACAAGGTTAGAATCATTAAATACATTAGCATGAACAAACAGAGCACAGCAATTACAAACATCTTCAGTAATACAGTTTTAGGTGTCATCTGTGAACCTGAAGAAAGGTTCAGTGACCTCGTCCAGGTCATCAATGGAGACATTAAAAAGTACAAGTCTCAGACTATACCCTGGCAGTACTGGACTGTCACAGGCATGCAGGTAGGGCAAGACCTATTAAACACTATCCTCTGATGGGGAGTTCCGTCTCTTTCCCCGTTTAATTCATTTTGTGGAGTCATAGTTACGCTGTGTTTATTTTACGCTGTATTTATTTGTCAGCCTACAGGAAGTTTGCATCACCACATCCTCTTAAAAGGACACTCACTTGGTTGATTTTCTTGTGTGCTCCAGCTCAGTGTCAACAAGCTATTTCAGGCCTGGAGACCCACTGCGTTTAAAAATCAGTTAAAAGGAGCAAAGTTCTGATACACGTTTCCCTGGGATATTTGCTCCAGGACACAAATCAACGGGGTTGGTTCTACTGCCCAACCTAAAAGTAGGCAAGACAGTATCTTGACATTTCACGGTGCAAACTCGTACTCATTTTGCATTTATTTTCCAAATCGTCACTTTTCATTTCAAATGAATTGAACGGCACTTTCCTGAGGCTCAGGAATGAACCTTCATGAACAGAATATGAACTTTTTTTTTTTTTTTTTTTGGGGGGGGGGTAAATTTACAGGAACCACGGGTATTTCAAGGAAACAAGGAGCAGCTCTCTTATAAGCACCAAGGTAAGGCTCAGCTTTTCGGGTGCTGTGCTATTCCATGGCATTCACAGGATAAGAATCCGGCCTGTGTACCCAACTGTGCGGCTCTTTGCACGGTACAGCAGCACAGCCGCCGCACACCACCAGCGCTCCGAGCACAGGCGCTCCCACGGAGCAGCTGCAGCGATGCACCCGGAACGCAGCAGCCTTGGCCTGGAAAGGAGCAATTCCCGTTCCCGGGCGCAGGCCGCGCGGGGCGGGCCCCATGGCCGCCGCTTACCAGGAATCCCACCGCGTAGAGGCTCCGCACGAAGCGGGCGGACGCGGCCGGGCTCGCCGCGGCCCCGCGGCCTCCGCCGCCCTCCTCCTCCTCGTCCTCGTCCATGCGGCCGGCGGCGCCGGGCCTGCGCAGTGCCCGCGGCGCGGCGGAAACCGAGCCTGGGAGCGGCGGGTGCCGCCTCGCCTGCTGTTTCCTTTGGCTTCGTGTGCCCTCTTTTTCGGGCTAAGATGAGGAAGAGTAAGGCTCCCTGCCGGCCCCGGGAGCCGTCGGGATTCCTGCCTCCAGCCTCCCACACGCACCTCTGTAGGACTTTGCCCTTCCTGCCTCTTGCGTGTTTGTACGCAAGAAGAATTTTGCAACCCGTCCTCTCCGGACCTGAGGCTCTGGGGAAGGCAGGAAGAACAGGGTGGAGCCGTGGGGCTTTGGAAACAAATATGCCATAGGAGCATGGTAATGGGTCTTCTGCACAGTTCTCGTGGTTGCTGTATAAAGACGGCTTTTTGTCCCTTGCACCTCCGATCCTACCCGTCCATGTGGACAGCGGCCGTGTCCCAGCGCTGCTGCTGCTGCTGCTGCTGCTGTTCCTCGGCCATCTCTCGGGCTCAGCCCGGTGCCTGCATCCAGTATTAATGGCAGCAAAGTGTTTTCCTGCCTTGTGACTTGGCTTATGATGGTGGTACTGAGCCCAGGAAGAAGGGCATCCCTCCTTCTGCTTAGCACGCTCACCGCTCTTCTGTGTTTTTGTTAAAAGTCAGGGACAGCTAGAATTGTTGACGGCTAGTATGTTACAATGCATTTGCATCCAAAGCACTGAAACTTCATAAATCTCTCAGATGCACTGGTGGGAACGATTGTCACATGCAAAATGTGACCACCCAACTTTATGTAGGCGTCAGAGGTGTTCTTTTATATAGTTGCTTGGCCAGGGATAAGTAAAACTTCGGCAGTTTTAAATACTTTTAAAAATGCACAAGGGGACAGGAGATCCTTTAACTTGTTTTTAGTTATCAGAAGAAACTTTTGAAAAATGTTGATGACTCTTACGTTTTAAAAGTTAACATGAGTTACAAAGTTTGAGAAAGATCATTCAATACCATAACTTCAGTTCTATCTTCATGTTTTCAGAAGAAATAAATATCACAGGGATGAGGACCTTTTACTGATTTAGGCCACAGAAAAGAAAAGGAGAGGGGGATGTAGTTTTCCTTATGATTATTAAAAATTAAGCTAAAAAAAACCCCAAACACTAAAACTGTAAAAAAAGACATATATCTAGATATGCAGCTTATTTATAAGATACCAAGGCAAAACTTAGCTTAGTATCTGCATAGGGACAAAGATGTTAGCAGAGTTCAGACAAGAATAACTCAGTTGTTTAATATCCCGATGGCTGTGATGTTTTCGTGTTGGGTTAACTAATATATCCTATTCATTTATCTTTTTGAGGCCACTTTGAATAACATATTCTCTCAGTGAAGTTTTTAAAATTCTGGGTACAACACTAACAGAGATCAGTTGCACACAATTTCTCTGAAGAAAGACAAGATGCTGAAATATTAGAGCATCCTGGGAATTGCCGCTACATTGTCTGCTCAATATTGCGCTAATTTTATTCTTGGTCATTTTAACTGATAGAAGAGATGGAAAGTGCCTGAAAATCTATTAGAAGAAAGTATTAAAGAGGTAGATGATTAAAAGATCTTGCAAGAGTTTAGGTACTTTTCCTGGGTTTCAGGGACATTGACTTCTATGCAAACACAGCCCAGCTGAAATTTTTAAGGTTTTATGTGTTAGTCTCTGCCATAAGTCTCTGAAACCAGTTAGCTATTCTGTACTTTTCTCAGGTTCTGAAGATCAGAATGGTTTAATATGATGGGGACAAAGTATTGCCGGCAGGAATATCGAATTCCCTGAAAATGAAAACCCGTAGGTTTTGTATGTTATTTCAAGCTATCTCCATGTACCATGACTTGTAAAGCAGAGAATAAGCAAACTTCATGACATCAGTGCAAACTGTTCATGGAAAAAAATACAAGTATTTAGAAAACATGTGTGTCTCTTCTTTTAACAGATCTCTTACTGGTTTTTTCCTGGCGAATTTGATCATATTGTTAAAGTGTGCATCTTACATGCTTACATAATTTACATAATATATAAGAAAAAGGCATTAATATATTGTAATGGACGAATATCTGTTACTTCTGAACTGAAACTATAATCATCTGCCTCAAGGTTCCTACTCATGTTCTGTAATTGCAATTACAAAATTTAAGATAAAGGCTCCCAAATACAAAAATCTTAAGATAAATATTCTCAAATAAAGTGGTTTTATGACTGATAAGGGAATTGACTAGCAATTAAGGGAATGAAATACAATGAAGACCATTTATCAGAGTCCTAAGGAAAATAGACCTAGTCTAATATCTTTGGGAGCAGAATTACATAGCTGGTTGATTAAAATTATACTGTCAATATAGTACACTTACATTACTTTAAGGTGTTTGACTTTTTACTGGATGATTCTTAAAAACAGGAACACAATAGATACTCAGAAGTGGCCAGCAGCATGTGTGTTCAGAAATGCCTAAATGATCCTCTTTCTATCTTTTTTTCCATGACTTGGTGGAAGCAATTGAATGAAAATTACTGGTTTAATGGATAATGCTAGAACCAGGAAGAATATGCAGGCTACTGTTGCTACACAATTAGAGTACTCTGTTTCCATTGTATGTAAGTAATGTAAGTGTGAAGTACATCATGTTAGAAACAAAGCATGAGGAGGTGCACCTCTCTGTTGTGACTGTGATTAAGATAAACCTGGTAGTCTTAGTACTCGGCCAGCAACTGTTAAATTTTTATTGCTATTTTGTGGCCCCCAAAAAAGGTGCTCATCTTTTGGTAAGAAATGGAGGAACCAGAAGTAAAAATGCATTCTATTACATTAAATTTATTACATTTGTGTCAGTTTTTTCAGTTTATATACTAATGCAACATTGTGTCTAGGTCTGCTGTCCTAATGAAAGATTAATTTTACATAAATAGAGAGAGTGAAAAAAAAATAGATTTTAATGGCAGAAGGAACATTTCTTCCAGTGTTGAGCTGCTGGAGATCAGATTACCCGCAGCCTTGTTGGGCAATTCTTGCCTCAAATTATGAATGGGAGGAGAACTAGTATGTGGGAGAATGACTGAGATTCAGTTTGCTCATGAGGGGAATGCGTGAGGAATCTTCAGCCTTTTAGTGAAAACATCTACTGTAAATATTTGGTGTCACTTGCCAAGCAAGGGGTTGAGGCAGTCTGCAGCTGCCCTCGCTCAGCCAGCTCTGTGGCTGTGTGTGCTCCAAGCCCTGACATAGTGAAAGCACTGATGGAAGTCATCTGAAATCTAATAAAATTCTTTTTTAAAAGATCCTCACATTACTTCAATAGTGGAGAAAACTTTAAACCTTATAAATTCTTAAATAAAATTTGTAAAATACTTCCGTGAGACAGATCTAAGACAACTACACTGATTTATTCCAGTAAATGGAATATATTCTTGAGTTCCTGCATTACAAATACGTAAGGTCAAGACCCCTAAATGTGCAATTTGTCATCAAATTTAGTGAATCTAACAATGACTTATTTCATTCTGGTTTACCGCTTCAGATCATTAGGGTAACTTCAACAGTCATTTCAACTTTTCATATACAAATTGAATGAAGTAGAAAAAGTTACAATCCAGTGGTCCAGAACATTTTAAGGGGTACTTGTAAATGAACTTGAGTTTGGAATCTGCAGTTAATCTTAAAGACATTTAAAGTGTAATCTGTCTGAAAAGATCTTCAAATTTAAGGAATTTGAAAAGAAACCTTTTAATTGATGCCACCCTCAAAACTGTAAATTAATCAGGTTGGTATGTCAGACAGGCTTAGAAAGCATTTATAAAACAGCTTGTTAAAGGAAGGAATTATTTCAGACATTGGGTCTACTTCCCTTCTGTAGTTTTTCATGGCAGCATAACTAAGGCCACATGGCTTTTTGTGTTTCTTTGAATTAATGTTTAACAGATAAAATAAATATGTTGGGAGCGGTTTAGATACTATTGATCCTTCTCTGGAGCAGAAGGTGGCTGGGATGACTCCTGTTGACCTCAGTCTCTTTTCTGATGTATTAGAGTACCCTTACATCACACACATCAGTCCCGTCTGCATGCTGGACCCCAACTCCCCCCAGTCCCTCACCAAGTCTATTATTTTATTTATTTATCTATTTATTTGTTTATTTATTTTAAAGTCAGTAGCTCTGTAGAAGCTGGAAGGGCACAAAAAGACCTGAAGGCTAGTTCTTCAGGCTTCCTCAATAAATCCAAATTTATGTATATCAGAAAGTGTCTATGCAGTAAATGGAAGGTGTTACAGCCTTGGTGAGATTCATATTAGCATCCTGCTATGTAAGGACCTATGTAAGGCAGCAACAAGAATGGTGATGAAGACTCCAGCTTTTAATTTCTGACTATTTATGCATAACTACTTTCATAGGAAACTTCCTCGAATTAGGCAACTCATTCATTTCTGTTGAAAATTGAACATGTGATGTGTCATGACTTTATTCCAGGAAACATTAATGGCATTGGCCTCGCTATCTTATAATTGCATGAAAAATTTAGAGCACTCACAATGGTGATGTGATAGAGGAACTCAGATGCATGTGCTTATACTTCTAATGATTCTTGCCCACTTGCAGGGATGTGGATTCATCACTACTTGAATCAGTGTTATCACACAATTAAAAAAGAAATTATGCTTTGCTGTCTTTTTACCTCTTTTATCTAATGTAATTTTAATGCAAGACATAATATAGAATGGGATATATGAAACAGTGATCCACTCAGTCATACTAAAGTTTTGTCTTCCTTTCTGTAGCTGAATAAATCTGTGATGCTTTGTAGTGTCAAAGTCCTGAACACAGAGAGGGTATAAGGCAAGGTTCAAATGGGATGTACAGCCTGAAGCTTTGTTCATCAGGATGATTGCAAGTCTATCATGTATTCCTGCAGGTGCCTAACAGTGCGTCCTGGATACACAGTGATGTGTGGGAGTAATGCCTCATAAAGAAGATTTTTCTTGT